GTCATTTGTAATCATCAAAATTAAACGAAATAAACATTTGAAATATATGAGTTTGTATGTAATGTATGAATATAATATACAAGTTTCACTTTTTAAATGGAATTACTGAAATAATTCTACTTTTTCATGATATTCTAATTTTATGACCAGCACCTGTAGTTTTTGTATGAGCACAAAAAAATTTATCTGGTCTTTACCAGATTCTAAAATACACAACACATTCCAGCATATCATTATTTATTAAACACAAAGTAGAAATGTAAAAGCTGCATTTGAAAGATTTAGTATGCCTTATGAACCAATAGATTGTAGAATCATCTTTAGCAATTATAAAATAAAATAGTGGTTTTATTACCGAGGGAATATTGAAGATGATACAGCACAGCAACTTGTAGTTAGTTTAAGAAAATGTTTAACCACAAACAGGATTGTTAAATAAGTTTGTTCAGTTTGTTTTATGACTGATACCAGGCAGATGTCATCACACAATAATTGCATCATGCTCCTCTTAAGCTCAGCTGATTTCTGCTCCACGCCTCTTTTGGTTCCGCACTGCCAGGTTCATTTCACAATGCATACTTATGGGTGGAAACTGACCGACTTCACCTGTGATTTATGAATGACTTGAAGGAGCTTAAAGATGGACTTGTCTGTGCAGACATTTCACAGAACTGACTTGTGAATGAGGTTCATGGGACTTTATAAGTTCCTTACATGTTTTGGTGCAATTTTGTCCCACTCTTCCTTAAAAAGTAAATGGACTGTATTTGTATAGCTCCTTTCTATCCAACCAGGATACTCAAAGCACTTCACACTACCGTTTGTGTCCTCATTTACCCATTCACACAACTCTTTACTAGATCTCCTACATAGCTAACACAAATCATCTGTGGAGACTAATCAGTGCCAGTCACATTCTTACACTGATGGGATACACATCAGAGGCATTGGGTGTGAAGGGTCTTGCTCAAGGACACAACAACTGAGACATCTGGAACGGGGGATCAAACTGGCAACTTACCAGTTCCAGGATGACTCCCTTAACCACTCTTCCACAGCCACCCCTTCCTTACTACTTTGCTTCAGTCCATTTAGGTTTGCAGACATTTGTTTTGGCACAACTCTTAAGCCCCCACCACAGCATTTCAGTCCAATTTAGACATTTTATTTTATTTTTTGCCTATCAGATTTGCAGCTGTGTTTAGGCAGGTCCTTCTCACTCCCAACTCGTCACATATCAACGCTTGTCCAAGGTTCCCTCTGTGTCGATTTTCGCCTTAGTTTACAAGATGACGACAAGGAGGAGGAGCCCGTGGTCATATTTTTGAAAAGAGTTGAAAATGCACGACAACCATCCCAATCCCTAAACTTAACTTCTATAATCCCTAAACATTATATCCCTGACCTCACTACCTAAAATTAACCAGTAATCCTGATCCCTAATATTAACCATGGACCCAACCCAAAGACCCTATGTGGCGCAAACCCAGAAAAGTCCTGTACATCGATAGTCGTGTTTCCATCCAATTTTAATTCGAATTTTGAGTAAATTTTTTAAATTTCTCAATAAGTAAAAAATGAAGAAATACGAACCAGACGTGTTTCCATCAACTGGCTTGAAGCGAATCCGTTACGTCAGACGCATGCATGTAGTAAACAGGAAAAGTCACAAACTCGCAGAGTCCACACAGGACAATGCAGAGAAGTTATTACGTGTTGCTACTATCAGGAAAGTTGTACTTATTCTGTTATCAACTAGTTTTGGCAATTTTACATGCTGTCTGGAGACGTAGAGAAAGAAATGCAATTCTCTTCACGTTATGGGAATAACTGAGAATATGCCGACAGTGGGAGGAGGGTCCAGCTGCCAGTTGCGACTGCAGTCGCTCTGGTACTGGTCCAGTACCATTCAGACAGCGAGAAGAGCTGATTAACCATGTGAGGTAAATGTTCGCTACATCAGAACTTATTTAGCAAATGTGTTTCTATCTGTCCTTTTGCGCATTAACTCTTTCTTGAAAAACCCAAAAACCATTCTAAGCGAGCGTAGCAACTTTGTTGCAAATTAGAAGTTTTTTTTTAATTGTGCTGCTTCCATTCACCTTTTCTGATGCCATACTTCAAAATGCGCATTAAAAATGTTGATTGAAACACGGCTAATAACTGATGCGAAGGGGCTACCCAACGTGTCAAAACCGCATGCAGAAGGAACCTGGACAAGCATCAATATGTGACGAGTCGGGAGTGAGAATGTGTTGGTTTAGGATTATTTGATTCCAAGTTCAATCTGTCAGACGGTGAGTCTCACTTTTGACTTGAATCTAATAATCAATTCAGTGACCTCAAGATGCACATGTTCTGTGGCTGCAAAACAACCTCAGATCATCAGCCCTTCACCACCATGCTTGACAGCTGTATGAGGTGTTCTGATGTTGCTTTTTATAGTAAACTGGTTCTTCATAGTTGAAGTCAACTTGAAACAAATCTAAAGTTAACCCAGTGTGACCGGTTTCTTGTTTTCAAAAGTTTAGGTGCATAAAAACACATTTCTGTCACTCCATGTCTACTTACAGAGCTCTGTTGGAGGCTTTAATGACTGGAAGCAGCCTTGTAAAAACCTCCTCTGGAGCAGAATATTTCTTCAGATCAAACATATTCAGATCTTCTGATGACAGTAAGATGAAGGCCAGAGCTGACCACTGAGCAGGAGACAGTTCTTGTGTGGACAGACGTCCTGAGCTCAGAGACTGCTGGATCTCCTCCACTAGAGAACCATCATTCAGTTCATTCAGACAGTGGAACAGATTTAAGCTTTTCTCTGCAGACTGATTCTCACCGATCTTCTTCTTGATGTGCTGGACAGTTTTCTGACTGGCTTGTGAGCTACTTCCTGTTTGTGTCAGGAAACCTCGTAGGAGAGTCTGATTGGTCTGAAGTGAAAGACCCAAGAGGAAGCGGAGGAACAAGTCCAGGTGTCCATTTGGACTCTGTAAGGCCTGGTCCACAGCACTCTGATGAAGATAATTTAGTTTTGGCTTGTTATGAAACACAGTACCCTGGTTGTTTTTTTGTGCTTCTTCCATCAGGTTGACTCCAGACTTAATGAAGGTCAGATGGACGTGAAGAGCAGCCAGAAACTCCTGGACACTAAGATGGACGAAGCAGAACACCTGGTCCTGGTGTAGTACCCTCTCCTCTTTCAGGATCTGTGTGAACACTCCTGAGTACCATGATGCTGTTTTGATCTCGATGTCACACTCTGTCAAGTCTGACTCGTAGAAGATCAGGTTTCCTTTCTGCAGCTGATCAAAAGCCAGTTTTCCCAGAGACTTAATCATCTTCCTGCTCTCTGGACTCCAGTCTGGATCTGTTTCAGCTCTTTCATCATACCTGACCTTCTTCAGTTTTGTCTGAACCACCAGGAAGTGGATGTACATCTCAGTCAGGGTGTTGGGGAGTCTTCCTTCCTTTTTGGTTTTCAGCACATCCTCCAGAACTGTAGCAGTGATCCAGCAGAAGACTGGGATGTGGCACATGATGTGGAGGCTTCGTGATGCCTTAATGTGGGAGATGATCCTGTTGGCCTGCTGTTTATTTTTGAACCTCTTCCTGAAGTACTCCTCCTTCTGTGGGTCAGTGAAGCCTCTTACCTCTGTCACCATGCTAACACAGTCAGCAGGGATCTGATTGGCTGCTGCAGGTCGTGTGGTTATCCAGATGCGAGCAGAGGGAAGCAGATTTCCTCTGATGAGGTTTGTCAGCAGAACATCCACTGAGGTGGACTCTGTAGCATCAGTCAGGACCTGGTTCCTGTGGAAGTCCAGAGGAAGTCGACTTTCATCCAGACCATCAAAGATAAAGAGCAGCTGGAAGTTGTCAAAGCTGCACATTTCTTTAGTTTCAGTGAAGAAGTGATGAACAAGTTCCACCAAGCTGAACTTTTTTCCTTTCAGCCCATTCAGCTCTCTGAATGTAAACGGAAACATGAGCTGGATGTCCTGGTTGGTTCTATCTTCAGCCCAGTCCAGAGTGAACTTCTGTGTTAAGACTGTTTTCCCAATGCCAGCCACTCCCTTTGTCATCACTGTTCTGATTGGTTGATGTCTTCCAGGTGGGAGTTTAAAGATGTCTTCCTGTCTGATGGTTGTTTCTGGTCTGTGTGGTTTCCTGGAAGCTGTTTCAATCTGTCTGACCTCATGTTCATCGTTGACCTCTCCAGTCCCTCCCTCTGTGATGTAGAGCTCTGTGTAAATATCATTCAGAAGGGTCGGGTTTCCTGCTTTAGCGATCCCCTCAAAAACACACTGGAACTTCATCTTGAGGGTAGATTTGAGTTCTTGCTGACAAACTGCAGTTGCAAATTCTAAAAGAACACAAAATAAGTGTAAGTATTTTCCATAGGTACACGACACTCATTGACCTAAGGAATGAGTGTTTGACTATCTGCTGTCTCTTTGTCTCAAGATACCAGTAAATGTCGAATTTTTCTGGAAAATTAATCCTTTAAAGAAATCTACTTACTGCTTTGCAGATGATCAGCCAGCTTCTCCTGATTCATCATCCTCAGGAAGTTCAGTGTGATCTTCAGAAAGGCCCCTCTGCTGCTCCTTTGCTTTTCATCTTCATCTTCCAACATATCCATTCTCTGACTCGCTGAGCATTCTGGGTAATCTTGACTCAGAACCCTTTGGACTTTTTTCAGCTCATTCTTCACAAAAGAGACAATGTTGTCCTCCAGCTCCTGGAACAGAACAATATCTGAGTGACACACTGTAATCAGGGAGTCAAACAGGTCTATTTCGGCAGACTGACAATGCCACTATTTCGTGGGTTTATGTCTGGTTAGCCTTTTTGCTCTAGTTTTGAGTTTTTGGTATGTCCCCATTTTTTTAGTTTTTGTATTGATGTTTTCTGTGATTTCCTTTTTCAATCACCATCTTATCATGGTAGAGGAGTTTGTGTGCCTGAATGATCCTACGAGCCCTGCTGTCAGAGACAATAGAAATTGCCCCTGGTAGGATCTCCCATGGCAGATTGGTCCTAGGTGACAGGCCAGACAAAGAGTCATTTAAAATACTTGTGTAGACGGAATAATCAAGGAGCTTTATGTCCCTTGCCTGGATGTGGGTTACTGGGGACACACCCTGGAGACGGGTCTGGGCGAGGGGCTATAAGATGAAACTCTCTGTTTACCGGTCTGTCCTACCCTCACCCATGGCCACGAACATTAATGACCGAAAAAAAGAGATCATGGATAGAGGTGGTCAAAATTAGTTTTTATCACAAGGTATTTGGACTCTCTCTTAGACAGTCCCTTCAGGAAGTTGCAATTTCATGATCGCAACTATAAATTCAAATTCACTCATCATTTGTGAGTTTTGCGCGGGCTTGCAATTTTCACCAGTCATTGCAACTTGTCCGCAAATTTGACAACTCACCTCAACATATTTTGTATTTTCTTGTTTTTTGGACCATCACTGCAACTAGGCTAAACTTTGACCAATCCCCTTAGCTCCCTGCTTCTTGTCTTCCAGACTTTGCAACATCTCTTGAAAGCTGAACCTGCAAAATGACGGCAAGTTACCACAAATGAGACTGTGGTATCCACGTCGGTTGCAAATGCTGAAAAAGACAGGGTGAGTTTGCGTACATGTCAACCTCTTCGGACATTCACCTGTATAAAAATCCTCAAAAATCCATAAATTTTGCAAAATACCCATATAACTCGCACCTTATATAAATAAGGAGTGCAACAATACATGTACCCGTATCGAACCATATCGAACAGTGCTTTAGGTTCAATACACACTTGTATCGAACAATACAGATTTTTAAAATTTACTTTATCAACTTGTCTTCTGAAGATGCTCTGTGTTGAAGGATCAGTGGATCTATGTTCGACGACTACACCTAGGCTGCATTTTTTAGTGCAGATCCACTGAGAAACTTGATGTTTCAGTAACATTTAATTAAAAAAACTGTACTTTTGAGGTTAAACAAATGTTCATAATTAATTTAAATAAATTACAAGTTAAAAGGGGCATGGACATTTTTTTTTTGTATCGAAAAAATATCAAACCGTGAGACTAAAGTATCGAACTGAACCGAATCGTGAATTTTCTGTATCGTTGCACCCTAATATATATATAACCCATAGATGATCAATGAGGGAGCGGTTAAGAACTTTGCAGATTAAAAAAACATTGAAGAAGTTAAAACCTGTTTATTTATTTATTTATTTATTTATTTATTTATTT